AAATAGTGTAGTTTACTCTTTATTCTATGAAGATAACTAATGCATTACTTCACAATCAAAGAAATCATGTTCTTCCCCTGCAAATAGCCTAACAAATCACTTACTTTGTTATAATTTATGAGTATGCTATGTAACCTGATCAGATTTATTTAAAGTATATTGAAGTTGATAAAAAAAGTTATATGTTCATAGTTGATCTCAAGTATTTCTGATTATTTTTCTCTCAGTTTAATCATAAAGAAAACCTTAAAAACTTTATAATCAAACTACTAACTTCCAAGATCAAATATTTGAGAATATACTGTTCAATAAATCTGACAAACCCAACAATGTTCTGGGTATATTTTAAATTGAACCTACTTCTCACTAAAGTTTAGTCATAATTGAAGTAATTTGGTAAAATTATTATAAATCTAACCCATTTCCAATTCTATTCTCTTCTGTTTTAAACAAATCATCCAGAACCTTCTAAATTGTTTATATAATCCCCATACAGCACAGAGAATTGTACTCCATCAAGCGGTAAAACTTATCTTTAATAATGGTAAATAAAATTGTTTAACAGTCTCCACAACGACAGTGAGTTAGATGATTAAAAACAGTCGGCAAATAATCACGAATCTTTGTTCTGTACACAAACTGGTCACTGGATGGTAACTAAAGTGGTTGTAGATCCTTAAGTTCTTTCCTGAGTCGTCTGATCGACTTCCCAGAGTGGGTCCTCCACTAAGTTAAGCCATACTTTGGTGGACTGTATTCCATTCTTAGACGCTGCCGCTAATCAGGCCTAGACAGTTTAGTTTTAAGGCCTATAAATTCCTCCCTATAGAAAACCAGTTTCTTTATGCTTGTGTACATGCCTTCCTGAAGAATGCCAATAAGTAAGAAACGTAGGACCACGGCCTCCGGATGACCGTCTCTTAACGGCCAACACCAAGTTTTGTTTTTCTGCGATAATCCCTTATCTTGAAGGAATCGCTCCTGAATTACCTGTATCAATTATCAACCAGGTCAGGAGAGTTATCAGTGAGCTATTTTAATTGTCACTCAGCTCCCTTTGAATGACCTCATGTTTCGTGATGACTTTTGCGATTGACTTGTTTTAAATTTTGTGCGTAAATCTAACCAACCATTTCCAAGAATAACAATTTCTTGGAAATATTCAGATCAACAGAGTAGATAGAAATGTAAGTCACAAGAGCGTTTTGTTTGTGCGAAATTTGACACTAATTAAGGTCAGTTTTGGAGCATTTAGGAAACACCGATTATCAGCCACAAAAGCAAAGTGTTCCACGCTGACACAGAAGACAAAGCATGCCTTAGCACGTCTTACACAAACAAACACCTAACTTGTCAAGTGTTTCACTGTAAGTACAAACTAGCCTAGATCCACTGGACCGTTCAGCATGTTTCCCTGTTGATGAGTAGTGTACATGTAGAAAGCGACTTCAAGGAGGAAAATATAACGTGGAATCTATTGATTCACAAGTGCTTCAGATATTGAATCGACAAGGAAAAACCGTAAACATAACCACATTCGTAAAATTCATAAAAAAAATAGGGAATCAGAAGCTTAATAAGACTATATCGTATAGACTCGTAGCACTGACGATACATTCGCTTGAACATTGTTCCTGAAGTCCCATGCATTTCTATCCATTCTTATAGGATTATTTCTCAAATCAGCAGATTTATCATCACTTCTTCTCAAACCCCACTCTTCTACTTTCTGTCTTTGACTCTTCAAAGTATTACCCTTAAGAGAAGCGTTCAGTTAACAAACGTCAATACTTGAAATAATTTTAGGCCGTTGTTTAGTTGATTTAGGACTAGGTCATGAAAAGCCATATCAGAGAAATTTGCCGGATAATGAAAGTACGTGATCCCTGTAGATCAGCCATAACCAATAGGAGGATACTGAAAACGAGACTTAAGGTATTTTTTTACTCGCATCCAGTGTGAACAAAACATTTTTCTTCATCAGTTAAATTATTAAGTACCGTGATTCACTTCATTTTTGTTATCCCTCTGAGACACGAACTCAGTGAGACGTATAATTAAACACGGTATGTAATGTAGCTGATGAACCAGTACCAGTGATGTCCATTAAAACTTCTGAGTACAAGATTTATCTATCTAAATTTACATGTCCCAAAAGTGATTTGAGCCAGCTTCGAGCACTTAATGACTGCTCAAAACTTTGTTGAAGTGTATCAGCTTCTGGAATACCTTATGATACTGTTAGGAAGTTAAGAAGTGATAGTTATTGAACTATAATGCTATAACTGTAAAGTGGTCAAATTGACGCAAATGCAAACTTTGAAATTCTGAATACTTTATTGACTTGTATCATTTTCCTAAATCTTCGTACCCCTCATGATTTATTCTACTATCTTTATATATCTACTAGTTTGGTGATTCAGTGCTACAAACAAATGTAGCAGGGTGAACTGGTACACAAATGGTAAGGGTTTCCAGTTTAGCTTTTTAGCTGCTCAATAATACGTCAACTTCAAGAATAAATCAGAACCTTCTCATCCACCGATCCAAAGTATAATTCCTCATTTACTCACAATATCATTTGGCCTAGTAACAACCCTGGCATAAACGTTAGGATAACATTCAAACCTCTCATATTTCTGAAACAAAGCCCATATTAACTGCTTCTAGCTTGAAGTATCAAAACGTCTATCCACCAAAATAACATGCTCTATACTAATAATAAGCAGTTCATATTGAAGTAACACATGAGGATTCTGGCTTTATTTAGTCCTCCGCAATGTCAGTACACTGAACAAAGTGAAAATGATGTAATTAAGGAGGATGTTTTGTTTTGAATTTTCTATCTTACGTTAGTTAAACCGACAAATTCACACCAGTATTCAGCTATTTACAGTATACAAAATTCAAGTATTGTAAAAAAGAAGCACTTTAAAATTGAATTTTCTGAAGAAAACTGAGTCCATTCTTATCCAGAATAAATACCTCATTATTTCGTAAAATTTGTCAAACTTTTTTCATCTGTGTCTGATCTGGATATGACTTTTTGTAGATTAACTGGTCGTCTAATGGCTATCTATTATTGATACCAAAATGAGTACAAATTTAACTGTATAAATGTTCAAATAAAGCCATATTTTTTTACGGTTTTGAGTGTTGTACATCCTAAGCGCCTACACTTTAGTCGCTTATAATGGTATCCCTTGACAACAAATTTAAAAGTTTGCAATTCTTTTTTAAAAAACTCTCCTGATGCCAGGCGTAATTATAAAATATATCGCTCACGAAAGCTGTGACTTTTTAAAGTCGTCTAAAGATTTTCTGCAAATAAGTGAACAGGAACAAGTGACAGTAAACGGACATAAACTATCGAAGACTTGTGGTTAACTGATGACTTCTTTAGTCGTCACGGTTCAATCACTGATAGTTACTTACTTTATAAATAAACTACTAGCTTTATCTGGTGCTCTCAGTTCTACCTGTTTATTACTCATACAAGCTGTTTATAATAAACGGTAACTTGTGTTCTCACTGATAGACATATTTTCAAGACTTCTCATGAAATATGGAAAAATAACGTTAGTTAACATGGTAAATGTGGGTGGTGAATGCACTTATATTTACTATGAACAGAATCTCAACTATATTTGCAAACTGTCAGTTACCGAATTTAAAAAGCCTTTTAAAAACTAAGATTCCATTGTTTCACTTGAAATTCTTAATCTGGAAACGTAGTGCCAACAAATAGTTCATGAAAACGGACAAAGAATTTCCCGTCAACTTTGTAACCAACTATATTTACCTATAAACAACAATCAACAGACTTCGAAAAAATTATATTTTGCATTTTCTATCAATAGAAAACTGATAGTATGAAATCTGTTTGTTAATCCAAATCTGATCCATTCAGATTCCTGTCTATAACAATAATTTACCTATTTTAAAAAGCGTATTTATTATTTATAAAACTATTTCCTGACTTACTAATAAGTATTTGTGGTATTAAAATACTGAAAAACATAAACAAGAAACAAACTGAAAAATTCATCTTCCGAATTCACGGCACCACTGTCTTGCATTTTGTATGGCCTAGGTTATTATATATGCACAAGTGAAAATAAATATATTAATTCGATACACAATGTTTTACCACATCCGGACAGATTAATGGATATGTCTGTTAGGCTAGTAAGTTCATTGCTGAATTTCGACAGAGTATCCGCATTGTCTACCATACTACCTTCCACATGGTTCTGAACTGTTTTAACAATGACCTTCCTATATGTTTATAGAACTGTCATCAGTCTCGAAGAAACGAGCTGATATCCAGCTGATTTGGTTTTAGATTAGATATTTCATTCCTGATTACAACGAAGGTCTAAACTATCACTCAAGTGGCAGCTGACTGACCGATGGAATACGAAAACGTGGGAAATATGGTTCTGTACCTGCTACTGGGGAGACAACGATACGTAGAAATTTAATGTAGTATATTGCTGGAAACACATCATAGCCCATCTTTTAGAACCTTTAGTGTCAAATTAAAGTGAAGATGAAACTAGCTTACTTTCCAGCTTGTGGGTGCAGATACATGCATCCTATTACAGCCCTTTTTTAATCACACAGTCGTATGCAACAATAATAAAAGGCGATTAAAGGAAGATTTCAATTGTAAGTATGGTGAATGTATACGGAAACAAAGTTCCAACGACCGTATTTTGCAGTACTGATAGGAATAGGGAAGTGATTGGTAGTATATTTTCCTAACCTAGAGTGCAACTATTAACCACAGCTAAAAGGAATTCCCTATCAAACAAGCATCCACATTTCTTTTGTTGTATGAAAATAGACAGAGCCGTGAGTTTCAATGCCTCACTGACGTGCTTTGTGGCTAAAAATGCCTTCACAAACCTTACTGTCATATATATATATATATATATATATATATATATATATATATATATATATATATATAATGGATCATACGATTTTGTACCAACCTGTTGTACACATACATTCAAACTGGATGGTGGATTTGTACACAGGAATTGCTTGGCGTAGCGTATATGCACTTGTTCGAGCTCTTCTGGCGTCATACCCCAGTTTTGAAACTTTTCTGGTATCCTAGGGTCGAACCTTCATCATAAAAATAAAAATTAGACACCATACCATGTGGTTTCTTGCGTCTGGTGATTCAGAAAATACACCTGATTGCTTTCATTTATTGCCATGTCATAGCCAACAGGAAGTTCGCTTATAGCGAATGTCATAGTAGGCCTGCACATTAATGGAGTCTGTCGAGAATCTCTATTTGGAGGTTTGTAAAATTAATTCACACTATATACCTCTGTGTTTGTAAAAAACTGGGACTACAAGAATCCGAAAAGCTGAAATCTGGACTAAATTCTGACACATATTTTGATGCGACATCAAGACTTTTTTGATGACTATGATTAGATGCGTTTACTGAAACTGGTGTTCTAAGTGCAGCATCCAGACAAGCTGGAGAAGAATTGGCTTTACTATGAAACACGACAAAATCTGTGGAGTTTCTTTCATTGCAATGTAAAGAGTTTAGTTTGGAAAATCGAGAAGTTTCACTTGTATCTCCAGGTGGAACGAAAAAGGATTTTGGCAGCTTACGCTGATGCAAAGGAACTTGTTGCCTTTGAGAAACAGGGTTGAAAAGTTCTTGAAGGCTGCTGTTAGGGTCTTCCAAGACTGTCACACGAACACTTGGAGGCTTTCTAGAATCATATCCTTCCATATCGAAATATATCACGATATCAAGACACTAAGAATAAGAAACTCAAAAATTTGACGCGTAAACGAAATGCAATGTGGAGGATGTAAACAACTTCAATATCCAATACCTCTTTGGTGGGTTTAGTAAACCACCAGTTTTTGAACCCTCGTATCAGTCTTAAGGCTAGGTGTTCTTTTACACTTATGCACCTTCGATGAGCTCAGAAGTCTTTTGTATTTTTCTGCGCTCACCTCGTAATCGTTTGTGAGTTTTCTCTTTGTAGTTACTCAAAATACGTAAGTAAAGAAACTTTTAAGTAGGTTATTTGAAAAGACTGGTCTTTTTCACGACTCTTGTCTCTATGTGAGCCTAATGTTACGCAAATCAGGCATCAAGTGAAAGAATAGTTAGTCATGTGTGATTGGGAATCGAAAATATGGAGGATCTATGTAAAATAGTGTTTAATGTCTCCAGAGATTCATAACTTTGAAAGTGTTCATACGGTAATGTATGAGTGCTATTTTTTAACTTTGCCAACTGCGGAACTGTTTGATCTTTAAAGTATGTGTCATTGTTATTCATTTTAATTTTCTATTTATTACATACGGGAAGGTATACATATGCTCACCTGGAATATGTATGTGGTGCCTGAAATCCCTTTTTGTAAGTTTGCACCAATAGTCAATTTCTTTGTGCATACTTCTAGATCAGGTGAAATGGTTCCTGGTCATTGGTGGCTTTTCTATGTGGTGGATTTAGCCGTTCTTCTTTAGTGGCTCTGTCTAACTAAGACAGTGGTTAGGTATTGCCTAAATTTGTAAGATGTCTCAATTGTTCAAGGACTGTGGTGCACATGAGACTTCCAAACACAGCGTCACCAGGCAGCTTGAGGGTCCGTTTAAAAAAGACCAGCGAGTGTAGGGGTAGAATAATAAAAGCATAAGGCGGTCAGCACCCATATGACAATAGAAAAGATAAAAATTACAGGCATATTTGAAGAACAGAAAGAGGAATATAGTGATAGAAGGAAGTTGAACGAATGGGGTTAAACAACGGAGGGTAAGAGAGAAAAAAGAGGGTGTGGGCAGTTTTCTCTGGGATGACTGGAGGAGAAATGGTATTGATAGTGAGATGGTGACTGCAGATGTAAGACTACCAATATAGAGAGGGTGTAGCTAGTTTGCTATTGAGGGATATAAGATTAGGCTATGTCATCCATAATGGCATGAGAAGATGCCAGTGCCGATAACCTAGACTGTGCTTCTACTGAATGGGTGTAGCCCATGTGTCCCCACTTAGCTGTCCAAAATTTACTTGAAGGAGTGGCTCCTTTGTTAGATAATGCGCTCTAGTGGCCATTGACTCGTAGGCAGAAGAAGTCGCTTCAAAAAAGGTCCCACGCCCTTTGATTAACGATTCTTTTCGTGTTCTTAGGATGGTTGCCGCGTTGACTGTCGAGCAACATTTCTTTGTTCAGGTGACTTAGACCACACAGCACCTCATAAATTACTAACACGTCACCACTTATCCTGCAGCACCCTACAGTAGGAATGGCTAAATCCTTTAGTCCACTTTTTTGTGATTTATGCTGCCTTCCAACTGTCCAAAGAGTCGCCCGATCAGGATAGTAAGTGACCAACCATGTTGATGGAAAAATTTTCCTTTGAAGGGTAACGTGTGTAGCACCGTCGGAAACCCTAATTCAACATATTCACGCTACCACTGGCCTTAAAGTATGGGTACGCCGTCCAGTCACTACACACTGTTTGAAGATGGGGGAACAAAATTTGCGCTTTCTGAGGTCCCACTGAGCTTAACGTAATGCACGATCGCTACTTAATTACTCTATGTTATATTCGTCGTCTAGGTTCTCAATTACTTTTGACAGCAATTGTAAGGCACTTCGGATCTTGTGTATCGCCTTCTCATATAGAAGGAAGGAAGGCACACTTCTAATGCTGTAGGAGCCGGAGGCTTTGCAAGGAGTGCTAAAGGTGACAATGTCGTGCACCAAGCAGGATATATGTACGCTCTTTCGGCAAGATAGAACGAACACCGTCTCATCCTGGGCGTTGTTCTGAACAAAGCTCCGAGGGCTTCCAAGTACCTTGTGTGTATTTCTCCCATCATGGATAGCACAAGAAGGTGCCCAGTTTGTCATCATACTCAACTGGCTGATACCCCGTTGAGCTGTGTCAAAAGGGGAGCTAAGCCTTCCAACAGTCCTCACTTTGCTAGGGTTCTGCTGGCTGCAGTCTCTTTAACGCACACCTTCAAATTACTAGGTTTTCCGTACACCATTAACAGGTATGCACCCCTGGGTCTGAGGCGAGTCTCCGGACAAAGAGTTCCTGTGGCGGCCTCTGAATCCACGGCACCTTGTTGTGACGTCGATCCCTCAAAGGCGAACTGGTGTGGTGATAGACCACTGTTCTAGAAAACCCTCACCTGGTTTATGCTCTCCTCTCGCTCAGGTGAAGGCACCCATCACTCCAGTACAACCATGAGGAGGGCTTTCTGGATGCGGTAACCACTAGACAAATATTTTTAGAGTTCACTTCATTGATGATACCTCTAAACAGATCCTACTGATGGCCATCTGATAAAAATTGCTCGACCTTAAGCCATGGAGCCGTCAGAAGATACCGGTTCATCGCCACATAACAATGATATTTATTCTTGAATACATGTATCTCAACCTCACTCGTCACTTGTTCTGTCACTAGGGGGTATGTGCTACATGTTTGTGCGGCGAAACATCCCAGCAGAATAAATATGTAGAAGTTTAAAAATTCGACAAATGGATGTATTGTCTTCGCAATAACAAAAACACCAGGGCTTGTATCTGGGCATGACACATATTACCTGAAGAAAAACAAAGCTTGAAGCTAATATTTCCATTGTAACACCTTGCACTTTTTGCTTGGGATAATGATAAGAAGTTCACGAGGGAATATATACAATTCGTTCATTTATTATGTTTCGTTAATAATTATGGAACTGTGTAACCCGTGTATGCCCACACTGTTTCACTCCAAAAGTTCACGATGTTGATGAGCATTACTACAATCAGCCAAATATCTTTGTTTTTCAGCCGCAGTATTCAGAAGCAATAGTTTTGTCTGAAAGTGTCAAGTGGACTTCTTAAAAATCTTACCCTCCATTTACACAGGTGGTGCCGACCTTGTGATCTGTAAGTGTTGGACTTTCCTCGCCACTTGCACAATCAATAAATCCCAGGTTTTGATAGTTATGAAGTTGTAGTCCAGTAAACATTTTGTTTCTGTTTGTTGTATTTAGTTATCGTGGACGTAGCAAAGCTGGCTACCCCACAAACAGGGTAGTTTCACCCAAGGTCTGATCCCTAAGCAGTTAACCTTCGGTGATAACCAAGTCAGTATTTGAGATTGAATTATCTTTCTACAGCGAGAAAAGAACGAAAGCAAAGCAGCAAGGGGAGAAAGAAGCAAGGACTCCAACAAGGTGTCGTTCCGATGTGAAAGTTTATCCCCACTTAACTCTCTCTGCTGTGGTGTTCGTTGCACATGATTTCTGTGTTAAGCACCTGAGAACATGGATTTCATGCTATTTTGCAGCATGGAGCCTCCAGTTTTGCTCAATGCGTCCGGTAAGACAGAATAAGCCATTAGTACAAGGCGATAATTTACAGACGTTTCCTCAACGCTTCGTATGAAGGGCCAGTGTAGGTGTGATAAATGTCCCGCCAGATGTCAAGAGGGCCTGTTGTGCGGAGTATCATGGAAGACAGTGTTGGTGCACTGACTAAGCCAGACAAACTACCAGGTTATAGGAATTTAATTGGTAATCGACTAAATTCAGAGGTTGATTCGGACGCCTTCACTCTAGCAGGAATTCGCCCGCAAATCTGGGAGAACCTTGCAGCGAAGAAACTTGCATGCCAGTAAGGTTTAAAGGTGTTCATTGTGACGTTGTGGGCGTGGTTGTGCAGATCGTAACAACTGTGGCTTTCGAAGTGAAACTCAACGCTGGCTGCAAAAGTGAATTTGTGTTGCACAATGAAGAGTGTCAGATTAATTCTTAGCCGTCTCATCCAAAGTGGTTGTAGGCTTAGGCTTCAGCACCCGAAGTTGCAGCCCTGTACGCAATCATATCTCAGTAATCTAGCTGTAGGACATATTCGGTATCCTCTATTTGTAGTGTGTCTTTCATGCGAATGCCACTCAAAATAATGGACTCTTGCCACGCATTTCGAGGTGCACGTTACGTCCTTTACGTTTTTCTCATGCTTTTGGATTTTCGCAATCTGGCTACGATCTAGTTACAGTTTTCGCCTGCAAACTAAAGCATCTACACGCATGCGTTATCTGTTAGCTATTGCTATCATCTTCACCGCAACTATCGGCTGCATATCTCTGGTTTTTATCAATACGTGAATTTTAGAATAATAGGCTGAACTTCAGCGTACTTCTCCATCTGGCGGGAAGTTGTGGCATTTCACTGTTTTATGTAAGTTTGCCGCAGAAGCTGAGGCCGAAAGATAACAAATAACTGTAACCTGCGTTGCGGCTAAGTTTCTAATCTTGCCATTTTATCGTCAGACAATAGAATTTTGTTGCTTGACGTCTGTGCCCTGTAGCCTTAGCATGAGTAACGTTGTCATGTCCCTTAACAAAGCAATCCATAGAGCTGAGAGACCAAAAGCTTCGAATCCATCACTGGGGTCCGAAAATAGTTTATTTACCAACGGTTCCTCTGGTGATCTGTCAGACGTCATGGCTGACGTATGTAATAGTGTTGCTGCGAACAAGCGTAATATCGTGGACGGCAGTAATGAGATTGCTGAACCTCAGCGTAAACTGTATTGTCTTACACCTCTGATTTGCCTACTCAACCCTACAACAGACTTATCAGTGGATGGTCCTATCAAATGTGTAACATTAGTGAGCTTCGTAGCTGCCGAAGCCAGCAGACGACTGACTCGTCACACGACCCCATCGTCTTCAATGTCCCTGATAGTTTTCCATTACAACGTGTTATAA